GGAAAAGTGCACAATCTTTTTCCTAAGCCCATCACATCAACTTTGAGGTATTCTAATGGTAATATACAATGTTTAGAATAATCAGTATGAGTATGATTGCGGCAGTCCTGTAAATTACGAAGTTATATGGCAAAATGTATATGGTTGATGGTAACTCGCATCAGGAAAAGTGCACAATCTTTTTCCTAAGCCCATCACATCAACTTTGAGGTATTCTAATGGTAATATACAATCTTTAGAATAATCAGTATGAGTATGATTGCGGCAGTCCAGTAAATTACGAAGTTATATGGCAAAATGTATATGGTTGACCTAACTATATAATAATCATGCTCTAACCACACGATCACAGGCGATAGGATAGATGAATACCCATACATCTATCCTCTCACCTGTGATCGTGTGGTTCATTGAGGTAAGTAAGTGAGTTTACTTTACTCAAGGAAGCCTTAAATGTCTAATGGTAGTCCATCATAATATTATTATGGTATAACGTCTTATTCGTATGTTGTTTATAACATATTACCATAAACTAACAAACTTAGCGTAGGGAAAAAAGATTTAATTCAACCAAGGTCAGGGGCTTCATAAGGAAGTGTTGAAATTGAAAACGGCGCCACGCCCGGCTTGGAATTTCTCCCCGAGACTACAAAATAAGTATGAAATACATGGGCTGACGGGGCCGTCTCACAGCTTTGATCTTGCGCTGACCGACATGGTTTCGCTCCCGTCCCTACTTTCTCTCCCTATAGTGTCACCCTAAATAAGCACATACTTTATTATGCCTTAGTAATTAATGTCAACTCGGAAATAATGCCGATAGCTGAAATGTTGACCGAGACACATGATATAACAACAATTGCAGATTTCTTTTTGTCCTACAAGTACAATTGTTTAAAATCTAATAGAAAACTGTGGCCAATTATTAAAAGAATCGTATGTGACTGGAGTTGGGCAATCATGATTGGCATTGTCACAGCGTGGAATACAATGAATTTACTACAGTATTTGAAATTTTGTTACGACTTATCCATGGGATCAATTGCACCTCAGGATCACAGAGATAAGGTTACTATACATGCATGCTGCGCACATTTTATGAAGACTAGTGTCCCTGTTGCTCGAATTCGAGCAATTTCTAAGTATTAGAGGCGTTATTTTAAAAGGAATAACGTTCATAATTTCTGAATACTTTAAAGGATTCGATTCAAAGATTATGGAAATATTCAAGATGTACATAAGAGAATATATCAATTTATCCAGGCTCTCTCGCTTTTTTCCATTGTAATATTTACGCCAACCCGAATTCAAATACAGTAGTAAATATTTCATTTCAACCAAGTCAGTAAATGTTTGTAGCAAACTGTAAAATTAGCAAACTTATTGACTGTTTAAAATTAACATATGTTTTTCTTCTCACTTTTAATTTTTGACAACAGCTGGAGTTGCATAACAATTTTTGTTTCCCATGTTAATCTTATGGAGAAATACAAAACTTTAAAGGGCCCCAGGGCCTCACTCTCTGATTATTTGCATAAAAAGAAAGTTTCCTGCACAACTTCACGTTACGCTCTTTCCAATGACACCAAAAACATGTCAATTGGTTCAGTAGTTTCGGAGGAGTAATTGTCACAAAATACATGCTTGCGTATTAAATAAGTACGAGAGTACGCCCCGTGGTCGAAAAATCGACCAAAAGTATGTTTTGTGCAAACTTCTCTATTTTCACCCCACACTGTAAATAAAACATGTGATTGAAATGTCTTCCATTTGTTTTGATTTTCTGTTTATATTTTGTTGTTATTTTGTCATCACCATAGCAACCCATATGACCCATGTTAATTTTTTAAAATTTCAAATTCATTTTTTGTGCTTATTTTTGAGCCTATTTTAATTTATAAAGGGATTCTGCACACCTACAGGAAAATAGCTTTCTAACGGTATGCGTAGATTTTCCCTACGATACACACGAGCTGAGAAAAAAGGTTTTAAAGAAACATGCTTGCCTATTAATATATAGATAGATAGATGATAAGTGATCGCATAGCAAAAGAACACATTAATAGTAAAACTGTAAAAAAGTTTATCATGAATGTAATGGCTAATCTTGTGATGTGTGATGATATATGTATGATAGAGGAAATTTATAAAAGCTTTGCTGCAGTTATTTTAAGTAAAAATAATTATGATATTACTTCAATGGCATTTAACAACTTACAAAATTTGACCGAAAATCTTGACTCCGAGTTTTTGTATTTTATGGAATGTACACTTGATTGTAGTACAGAGAATGTTATGCCTACAAGTGAACATATTACAGAAATAACCGGTCGCACTAAAGTTGATAGTCCTTTTTTCAAAAAATTCGAAACGGTGGCAGAACACATATCCAAACAACTAGATTGCGCAAGGAAAATGGTAAGTAATAATAAATCCCCCAACAATTACTACTGCCCGTCATTTTTTGATTATTTCCAGAAACACCTAATCCCTTTGTTACCCTTTTGGACTGGGTTGATGATAGGTTTGCACCAAGGGCCCGGTGATAAACCCTGATGAGCACTTTTTCCTGATGCGAGTTCCTATCAACCATATACATTTTGCCATATAACTTCGTAATTTACTGGACTGCCGCAATCATACTAATACTGATTATTCTAAACATTGTATATTACCATTAGAATGGCTCAAAGTTGATGTGATGGGCTTAGGAAAAAGATTGTGCGGCACTTTTCCTGATGCGAGTTCCTATCAACCATATACATTTTGCCATATAACTTCGTAATTTACTGGACTGCCGCAATCATAATCATACTGATTATTCTAAAAATTGTATATTACCATTAGAATACCTCAAAGTTGATGTAATGGGCTTAGGAAAAAGATTGTGCACTTTTCCTGATGCGAGTTACCATCAACCATATAGATTTTTCCATATAACTTCGTAATTTACTGGACTGCCGCAATCATACTCATACTGATTATTCTAAACATTGTATATTACCATTAGAATACCTCAAAGTTGATGTGATGGGCTTAGGAAAAAGATTGTGCACTTTACCTGACGCAAATTCCTATCAACCATATAGATTTTGCCTTATAGCTTCGTAATTCACTGGACTGCCTCAATCATATTTATACTGAGTATTCTACACATTGTATATTACCATTAGAATACCTCAAAGTTGATGTGATGGGCTTAGGAAAAAGATTGTGCACTTTACCTGACGCAAATTCCTATCAACCATATACATTTTGCCATATAACTTCGTAATTTACTGGACTGCCGCAATCATAATCATACTGATTATTCTAAAAATTGTATATTACCATTAGAATACCTCAAAGTTGATGTAATGGGCTTAGGAAAAAGATTGTGCACTTTTCCTGATGCGAGTTACCATCAACCATATAGATTTTTCCATATAACTTCGTAATTTACTGGACTGCCGCAATCATACTCATACTGATTATTCTAAACATTGTATATTACCATTAGAATACCTCAAAGTTGATGTGATGGGCTTAGGAAAAAGATTGTGCACTTTACCTGACGCAAATTCCTATCAACCATATAGATTTTGCCTTATAGCTTCGTAATTCACTGGACTGCCTCAATCATATTTATACTGAGTATTCTACACATTGTATATTACCATTAGAATACCTCAAAGTTGATGTGATGGGCTTAGGAAAAAGATTGTGCACTTTACCTGACGCAAATTCCTATCAACCATATAGATTTTGCCTTATAGCTTCGTAATTCACTGGACTGCCTCAATCATATTTATACTGAGTATTCTACACATTGTATATTACCATTAGAATACCTCAAAGTTGATGTGATGGGCTTAGGAAAAAGATTGTGCACTTTTCCTGATGCAAGTTACTATCAACCATATACATTTTGCCATATAGCTTCGTAATTTACTGGACTGCCGCAATCATATTTATACTGAATATTCTACACATTGTATATTACCATTAGAATACCTCAAAGTTGATGTGATGGGCTTAGGAAAAAGATTGTGCACTTTACCTGACGCAAATTCCTATCAACCATATAGATTTTGCCTTATAGCTTCGTAATTCACTGGACTGCCTCAATCATATTTATACTGAGTATTCTACACATTGTATATTACCATTAGAATACCTCAAAGTTGATGTGATGGGCTTAGGAAAAAGATTGTGCACTTTTCCTGACGCAAATTCCTATAAACTATATAGATTTTGCCTTATAGCTTCGTAATTCACTGGACTGCCTCAATCATATTTATACTGAGTATTCTACACATTGTATATTACCATTAGAATACCTCAAAGTTGATGTGATGGGCTTAGGAAAAAGATTGTGCACTTTTCCTGACGCAAATTCCTATAAACTATATAGATTTTGCCTTATAGCTTCGTAATTCACTGGACTGCCTCAATCATATGTAGACTGAGTATTCTACACATTGTATATTACCATTAGAATACATCAAAGTTGATGTGATGTACTAAGGAAAAAGATTGTACACTTTTTCCTGATGCGAGTTCCTATCAACAATATAGATTTTGCCTTATAGCTTCGTAATTCACTGGACTGCCTCAATCATATTTATACTGAGTATTCTACACATTGTACATTACCATTAGAATACCTCAAAGTTGATGTGATGGGCTTGGGAAAAAAGATTTTGCACTTTTTATGTTCGGAGTTTTAATTGATCGCGTTATGTTAAGCCATAGCTACGTATAATGTACAGTACGGTCTCAAATATGCCTTTTAAAATACGTCAATTAATTAGTTTTAACTTGTATACACGTTTTATCAATGTATAATTGACATTATATAAATATTTAAACATCATTTAGCACCGTATTGTCATTGAATTGTGTTTCCGACATCCCTGCAAAACACGTTTGTGGCGTCCGCAGGCGTACCAACCCACATCTATTACAAACCGAAAAAGCGCCGATGAAAAGAGCCGCTAACTTCACGACGGTGTCTAGTCTTGTATTCAATTCAAAATTTGGTTATAAACTTGGGCTAGGGCCAGGGCTACTAAGTTAGTAAGTTTTATAGTATAAAGACAAATTTGGCCTGTGTGTTGTGTTCTGTGTTAAGAGGCCTTTAAAAAAAATAGTACTTAACTTAGACCTATTTTGTTATTGTCGTCTAAAGATGTTTTCCGACACTTTGATAAGCCCTAAATCTGATCAGTCAATTCGCACTAGATACCAAAATATCAAACGCAGAATAAATTCTCCTAACTTCAGAGATATTTTACGTCAGGTAATTATCTATTATTTTCCCATTGATTGGCGTAAGGGCTTTGTTTTGTTTTTTTGTGTGTAGGCCTAATCTTAATCTTAAGTTAGGCTAATCCTTTGAATCTTGAATCTTAATAATGTGAACGTCTTGAAAGGAAACGGTCCTAACAATCAATTACAAACTAGGCCTAGGCATTTAACTTACAGGCCTAGGCCTAAGTTATTTAGTCAGAATCTATTATTGATAGGCCTAGCCTAAGTCTACCTGGAATTCCAGGCTTTGGCCAACTTAACTTAATCCTAGAACGGCCAAACAACTTTTTTAGTCGTTGAGTTATGGTAAGATGGTGGCCAAACAACTTTTTTAGTCGTTTGCTACAGACTTTTTTTTCTAGCAAATAGGCCCCTAGCCTATTTGGAACTGATAATAAGATCTGATAACTACCTACTCTTTTTTATGATCCAGGCCTACATCCACAGATTAACCTACATGTATCAAAGACTTCTACATCTCGAGTAAGAATGGATTTGATTCAGTTCTTGAACGAAACTGATGGATCAGACAATGCCATAAACTTTTCGGTGAAATATGGGATACTTCCCGATAGAGCTCCCAAAACGTGTGTTAAGTGTGGTGGTGGAGTTGATTCTCTGATGATAAACAAATATTCAAGAAATCCACAGGTACCTTACATCTTCGTTTGTAGCAAAAAAAGTTGCCGCTGGTCGGTTTCCATATCAAGAAACACAATAGGCCTATTTGACAAACTTCACTTTCCCTTCTCACGGATTGCGCCTAATATACTTCTGGCTCTTAAAGTTGTCTGTTCAGGACAGTGCAAAAACTTAACTCAAAGACCAACATAAAATTATTGTGTTTCTATCTGTTGTCAATAATTCTTAGTTTCATTAACTTTCTGTCTAAATTAAAAAAAAAATTACTCATATTTTTTTTTAATTTGAAGTGCATTTGACAATTAAAATAAGCTTAAACCCCTCTTTTGTTGTTTCAAAACTTTCCCGGACCCCCCTTGTTTGCTGGGGGTTATTCCATACCCCCCGGTGTTTGCCCCCCCCAAGGATTTGGTGAAATGACGCCACTGTATGTGTGTGTGTGTCCAGACGATAACTTAAGAGTAATATTTGTCCGATTTTGATAAAATTTGGTTTGAAGGTGTAAGGAGGGATAAACTTAAATGAGTTTGCAAACCAGCATGAACGGACCATGGGAACGGGGTTTGGTTTTATGGGGTAAAAATTGGGTTTTCTCATTTTTTACCCTTAAAGCACAAAATTTATCAATTTATCTCCAGACCTTTTTAAAGAGCTTCGAAAAAATAATTTAGTATATCAAAGTGTTTTTGTACGGTGATTGGTTGTAACGGAGAAAATTCAAAAAATTTTTAATTTCAAATTCCCATGTTATTCTTATGGAGAATATTGTAGGAAAATGTTGTAGTTGGCTTGTTTATGGTTATATTTTGATCAAACTTGGCAGATTTACCTATTTATTTCATACTAAGCGATTGATATTTTAATAAAAAAGACATTTTATTATTTTCCCTATAGCAGCTATCCTAGGTACTCGTTAAACATAAATGTTAATTTAGCCTAATAGATTAATTGAAAATCAGTCCAGGCAAATGGAAATTCGCTTAGTCGGCAGGTTTGCAGCAGCCGGGGATTTATTTTACTAAACTACAGTATTAAAATTTTACAACAAAAAACACTTTTTCACCCTCCCTGTTGCATCAAACCTAAGTACCGGTAGGCCTACTCGTTAAACTAATTTTATTTAATAGGGAATAAATATGTGATATTTTTAAGGAGACATTTTTTTGTGTAAATCCAATCAGGCAAATGGAAATTTGCTAAGACTGCAGGTTTGCTGCGGCTAATACAGTTGCTGCGGCTGGGTCCCCAATGATCCATGGCGTGCCGTGATGTGAGGCAGCTGTGTCACCGGAGACACAGCACGCAATGCATTGTTTGCCCAGGCTCTCGCCGAGGACAGTTGGTACGCGTTAATACTGTGTCTCTAATTCCAGTCTCTAATTTTGGTGTAGGTTGGTAGTAAATTTCCCCGGAAAATCCCTGATATCTTTTTTTCTTTTTTTCTCCCTCCAAACGGCAATACAATGGGACCAGATATGTTCCAAGCAGTCCTGCTGTCTGTGGGTGTTTTAGCGAACTATGTCGACTCTCGTTGTAACGGAGCACATCACCGCACATTATTTGCAATTCGACAGATTGAAATATTTGAAAGCCAATCGCCCGGCAATCGGGTTCGTTCCACACTGCGCCGCATGGGGCTATGCCTACCATTGATGGGCCGGCTATGCCTTACACATTACACATTATCGGTTTATCTTAAGACATAAACATCGGTATGAAAGTTCTACACCACTGCCATAAGAGCTGCAAAATGGACGTGCTAGAGGAGTTTGAAATTTATAAACATCTTGAAAAGCAAGATTTATGGACAATTTCATCCTGAACGACAAACTCCAGTTCCAGTCGAATTATACCTTCACCTTATTTTAGTCTTAATAGCAGTTTTGGGGCTACAACAATGGATTTTAAAACCTGAAGTCGGGACCTATTTACTTTTTACATTTTGAGAACTCCAGAGGCCAAAAACCCAATCTGTTCATGCCTAAAGGGTATCAGAGAAAAATGATTCATGACTTTGGGATATGGTTCCTCATACCTACATGAAGAAAAATGTTTATGTGAAGGTACCTATGTCAGAACAAACATAGGCCCTACTCAGATATCCACCATTTTTTTAAATTTTTTTACATAAAAATCTTATCTTTGACATTTTCCGACCAATCTTCATGAAACTTGGCACTTATGTTAAAATAGTAGGTTTCGTTGATCTTTTTGTGAATTTCCCTATAGGGAGGTAGCTACTGTATACTATCTAGGTGGCGAGGTAAGACCTACACCTCTACCTAGGACTGATATTTATTTTCATTTTGTTGTCCCCAGAGGCCAAAAACAATATTTAGTTTTTCAATAAACCTCATTAAGAGGAATATGAAAATGTTTATGAATGGAGGTTAGCATACTTATAAAATTCTCTATAGGTAGGGCCTATTAAAATTTAGAGTGGGCTATTTTTAATAGCCTACTTCAAAAATTACTCTTTAATGAGCCAAAGATTTTTTGTGGGATAAAACAAGTAGGCCTACAAACAGTGGAATGTTATACTAAACTATGGCTTAAACATACCTAAAAAAATGTATTTTCACACCACTGTTAACTTAAAAATAAACAAATTAAGTTTTAAGATAATCGAACACCGGCATCCCGAATGTTTTTGAAAAAGAGTGTATCCGCGATGTTCCTCAGAGAGGGTGAGATTGCAGACTGATTTTCGGCATACCCCCACCCTTACAAAACCGGTCCTGAGCCACTCTAACCACCTACCCCTAGGCTTCACCAGGAAACGCATTAGCTCTACAGATCGTGACACCTAAGCTGGTACTTGACCGATCGCTACTAGCATCTAGTTCAAAAACATCATATGCCGTCATACAGGTTGCGTCAACTGTCCTCGCGACCCTCCTGAAGGCGCTTAGTACGTGAAACACAGGAAGTCAACCCCGTGATTCAGCAGAATATGTTTGCAGTCCGGTCTTTTTCTTACTTCCACCATGATCTAGTTTTTCATTATTCATTGGCCTTTGTCGTTGACCCTCTGGCAGAGGGAATAGACCATGTCTAGTTATTAGAAAAAAAAACACACAAAACAAGACAACATGCACAACATAAAATAATACTGTTCGTTTTCATGATGGGCAGGCAGCAGACGGCACAAAAGTTTAAATGCCCCGCTCCAGATTATCGTCAAAATAATCAGTTACTTTGTAGTACAGCCTTTTTAACATCAAGTCTTTCTCAGCGGCCTTGAATTTCCGGTCACCTAGACATCGACTGCTGGGAGGGAAAAATTCAGTTGAAAAATTTGATGGCTGACGTGGAGAATAAATTTAACCTTCTGCTCAGTCTTGCCCTGGAGACATTAATATTTTGCCTAGCTCTGGTATTATGGGCGTGGATATGGCATCTACTATTTAGAAATGGATCACTGCATTTGATATCAATTAGGCAGGCGTAGATGTAGTGGCTGCAGACAGTTAGAATACCAAGTCTCTTGAAAATCGGTACGAAGTGTTCTCTAAAAGGGCTACCCTACTTGAGATTATAAGGATTGCCGCTTTTTTAAGTTTTAATACTTCCTCCACTACTGACGCATGACCCCAAAGGTGCAGTCCGTACGCAATGTTTGAGTGTAAGTGGTACTATATAAATATTAAATATAGAGAAATGTTTTTTTTTTAGGGTTTGGTTATCTGGCATTTTCTTAATAATTTCTTAGGTAAAACTTTATTTTTACAGATATTGCATATTTTCTTAAAGAAATGATGTTTTCAGCGTTGCAAGGAACGAGTAAAAGCAAGAAGGACTCAACTCTTTGATAATCTTAGATCTTTACAAAATGAAGAAAGTGTACGTGATGCAATTTCTCAGTTTATTGACATGGACTTGGAGGAGATTAACTCACGCAACACATCTCCAGAAAGGTCCAGAAAGGTTCTACTAAATTATTACAAAATTATATTTTTCAAAATTTGGAATTTTAGGGTTTTTAAGGAATTATTCATACATGGAATAAGCTATTTCCGTAGGTCTCATGGAAGTAAGACCTAGAGGCGGGACCAATTTTCTTCTTTGTTTTGATGTCCCCAAAGGGCAAAAGTACAATCCCTTAAAATGGGGAGGAAATCTATGTATTTAATACGCCACATGCTTTTTCTTGGCAACTAATTTAAGAGAACGGCTGGGTGTAGAAACTTGGCAGAGGTGTCCAGAGACAGGTCTTGGTCTGTAGATGAACCATCGAAAGAGAAAAGAGGTAAATTCCCTTGGGGCTCTGCCCCAGGGGGCTTTAAAATTCCACTCCCATGTAATTAGGTAAAACTGGGGTTTTTCACAACTAATTTGGGAGAACGGTTGGGCGTAAAAAGTTTGGTAGAGGTGTCGAAACCGAAAGTAAGGTCATGGTCTGTAGATGAGCCACCAAAAGAGAAACTTGGTAAATTCTCTTGGGACTCTGCCCCAGTGGCCTTTAAATTTACCCATACAGATTTTTTTACATTATGCCATATGAATAATTTTACACTTCTTTTTAATGAAACAGTTAGTAATATTTAAATTGTATTTCAAAGGTAAGTTATAAGCATTTAATGAATCTGTCAAAAAATGCAACAAAAATTTCATATACAAATTGAAATAAAATGCTAAAATGTCATCCATACAACAAATGTAGTGTTCAAAGAGATTATGTAAGTAAAGAATTTAAAGAAATGGTTTTGTATGGTTTTCTTATTTTTGTTTGTTTGTTCATAACTAGGCCTACATAATACATAATTAACACAATAAAGGTTGGAGTTGACATATTTACTTCCCCTAGTATACATATATGAATGTGTGTTCGAGCGTCCTTTTGCCCGATAGCCCAAGTAAAATCATGCTAATTTGGAAAAACATGTAAACCTACATTTATTCCATCGAGATCATGAACTAACGACCAACATGTTTGAAGGACAATGGGAACGGTGTTTTATTGGAGGGGGAGGGGAGGGTTTAGGGTTAACAAAAAATTAATTTAATAGTTTCTTTCCTCTTAAACTCATTTGTAGAGCTTAAAACACAAATTAGTTAGTAGGCCTATTGGAGCTTTGTTTAATGTTCCATAAAACCAACTGTATATTTATAATAATTCCGATCTTATTCTTATGGACTGTAGGAGTTGTTTTTTTATTGAATATATTCTGATACAGTTTGACAAATGTATTTATTTCATCTTAATTTTTTTTTTATTTGACTTAAAACACAGCTTCCCTAGAGCAACAAACCTAAGTAGGTACTCGTTTAACATAATGTTAAATGGGGAATGAATCTAATATTTTAAAGTAAGAAGTAAAAATCTAGTCAGACAAAATGAAAGTTTACTTACACCCGGTTAAAACGAGCGACACATCTAGCTGACTAGGCTGTTACTAGCTAAGCCCAACTGGGTAGCGGACCACAGGATATACCAGTTCACACGAGCGACATGTCCACGAATAAGTGAAAATATCGATATCAAAACCACTCGAATCCATCACTGGTGCACAATGAGAACAAAGGGAAGAATGCAAGCTGCAGCGTGACTACCCGATTGCTCGTGTGAATGCTTCCATAAGGCTACGCGTACCTACTGCTACGCCGCTAGACTGGGTGACTGGGTAGCTTCCACGAGTGGCGGGGAAGCGGGCCCGACTATGTTTTGGGACACCAAGCTCGAACGCGGCTAGCTAGTCGTCGCCCTACGCTCGTGTGAACAGCTCCATTTGATACTGTGGTCCGCTACCCAGTCAGGCTTACCTTGTCACAGCCTGGTCGGCTAGTTATGTCGCTCGCGTGAACTGGACCTAGGTCCGTAGGACTAGGATGCGGACCAAAGGATAAAATGGAGCCGTTCACACGGGCGTACAGCCACAGCGATCGAGCTTGGTGTCGCAAACCATCGTCAGGGCCTGTTTCCTAGCCAAGTTTCACGACTTATTACGGCTAGCTAGTCAATAGCTCTAGCGGCGTAGCAGTCATAGGCCTAGTCATATGCATCGATATATAACTACTACTGGATTGCACGCTGTCCATAAGAGCTGTGTAGAGAAATTCGGTCGCGTACAGGTGTGTGTGGCGGGACGTATCGCAGTGCTGCAGGCGCCCGGTAGGGGCAAAACAGCAACTCGCGCCGCTGCCCGCTGCTATTCCCGCCAAAGAATTATTTCGCCACTAGCAGTTTTTTCTAACAATTCGAGGTCATGTACGAAGAAGCAAATGTAAACCACTTGTGAATGAATCATCCTGTCAGTTATTAGTGGACAGATAGCACTTTCACGTGGCAGTTTGGTTAGCAATGTATGAATTAATGAAATATGAAATAATGATTTATTCCACCATAATTACATTACATATACATGAAATAAAAACTCGGAATTACATTGCCACAGCATCCAGTTAATGTGACAACGTCCAATAAGAATTAACAATATAAAGTACATTCTATAAACTTTCAGTCCAGTCCACACATTAAAAACACCTTGCCGCTCTCTGTGGCGTCTTGGGGCCTTGGTCTTGATGTCAGTTGTTAAATTAAACAAAATAACAGTATTATAACAATGATAGATATTTAAAATAAAAATATATTAAAAAATGAATCCTATATTAGCAGTAAAATCATGTAAATCAACAATTTAAAACAAGATATGCAGATTTAATAATTCAATACGAAACGTTAAATTTGCGAAGATTTAGGAAAAAAATGCTTTTATGTTACAACACTATTAAAAAATCTTTATTTGGCACCTCAATTAACCACTTTTTTATTTGAATAGAAAATTACTTTAATTCTGCACTGCTTTTGGTATCTTGAGGTAATTGGTTGAAATATTTTGGCCCACTGATAAGACTTTCTAAATATTGATTTGTTTACTTTGGGTAATCTAAATAAATCTTTGACTGTTGCTTCTTTAATACTTTATAAAAGAACAGTGTGTTAAATTGGAAGTATTTTTAAATGGACAAATAATGGATAGGAGCTCTCTCTTTTCTGAGACGGAAGGTCAAAATTATTCAACCACGGCTAAACAGAAGAGATACTAGGATAAAATCTATGCATGAAATGATTGTAGTGTTTAAGTAAAGCACCTGATAGGTTAATAGAGGATTTTGAGGGAAAGTTTTCAGGATTTCCGTTAGATTTAATTGTCCATTCTATGAAAAATAGTACACCAGTAAATTCAGGACCGTGTATTCAGAAAAAATAAAAGAATTTGCACTCACTGTCTATTTCTACAGTCCTAAGGCATACAAATACAGAGACAAAGGCAATTGTTGATTGCGATATTGATGACTGTGAAGAAAACGATGTAATTGACTTTCAAAGAGTGGTATCTGCGGAAACTGGATCATACTTCAAGAATAATGTATTATATTATATGTCTGGTTTTAGTGTTAGACAAATATTAGGTAGCCTACAGTAACATGTGAAGAATGTGTTAGTCTTTTGACAGCTGACGAATGCAATTTAAGTAGCAACACCCATTTCACAGATTTTGTTTCAAGAGGAAAATTTGTGAGAGCATCCTCAGATGTTTATGTGGTTAAAGTCATGAACAATAAATATACTTCATCTAAAAATAATCGAACCAAATTAAACATCCAAAAAATAATTTTGGAATCTTGTAGAACTTTAGTTGGGAATGTGTTTAAATCGCATTTGTCTAACGTTGACTTTGGAGAGGACACGCACAAAATTAAGCTAATAAAGTTAATCGGATTTTTTTTATAACTTGCTACAGTTATGCTAAAGAGCAAACCATTGCACTGTCAAGAGTTGGTATTCGTCAAAAGCTAGCTTCTTTTTAATCATGCGTGAAATGTAGACTACTCTGTGTGGTACTGTATTCAAATAAATGGTTTTATACAACTGTGCTGTATTTTTATTGTTTAATTTATCAACCTTTTTATAAAACCAATAACCCAAACCATCCAAGCAATTTTTTAAATACAAATACTATGTTATCGCCCAACTTTATAACAATGTGAATACACATTGTACTGTATTGCAATTAATTTATTACTAACTTACCTATTTACTTTAGTTTTTTAATATAACTTGATAAGTGAGTCAAAATATCCCCCGATGAACATTTTTCGTGAATCAATAGTTAAAATAGGGTAAACAAATGCTATCACAACGTCAGTGCGATGTAAAACCCAAGCACCGTGCGGGTTTCTTGCCCCTACCCGACGCCTTCAAGTGAAGAACGCAACCATAGATGAAGTAATATAATGAGATAGGCAGCCGCGTGTATAAAACCGTGGGAGTTTTTAGTTGGGCCTGCACGATGTATTGCGCGGGCCGTCCGCGGCTCGCAGCACTGTCGTGGGTTAAACGCAGTACGTTGTCTCAAACCGCACTGCGTTACCGACACGCTAACTTATACAGTAACCACGACATTTGCTATTGAATAATGAAAGTATATACTTTAATATGACGTATTATGTTATTACAATAACGGGGCCGATAAGTGCTCGGTTATGGTTAATTATTGGACTTAATAGTTAAACAATATCACAAAGAGACACAATTTATCGATTACGAAAAATGTTTTTATTACAAACAATAAACATTTAATCGCTTAAATAATGACAACCATCTAATTTAAAAGTGTGCAATAAAACATATATTATCAAAAACTAATATGACCTTACTTTAACATAGTTATTCACATTTACATAATTACTTACGTACATAATAGTTATTTACACAAATAAATCCTAAAACCGTTATTTTCGTTCGCCAAGAAATCGTCCACTTATATTTTAACTAAAGAAGCAAAGGTAAAATGTAAAAGCATTAAATAAAAGTTTACAAGTGAAATTTCCAATATTATAAAGTAATAGAATTAGTTAAATTAGTTTATATCATATGAAATAAAATTTTACGCATCCTGATCGCGAAAATAAC